CTGTTACTATGCACTGAACTGACACTTTAATTGTCTGTTAGGATTGCAGGATCTCTTCCTGAATGGCAATACCCAGCTCAAAGTCCGTTCTTCTGCAAGCATAGCAGGCTGGTGTTCCTCCAAGTGCACTATCTTGCCTTCATCAACGCCGAATTCACCTGCCGCCAGCGCACTGCCTCGTGTCTCAGTATTGTGAAATCCCTCTGCAACTCTGTTCAAGCAGCTTGTGCTTCTACTACCATGAATAACTTAGTACACAAGCAAGAATTATAATTTCATTCTATACCTCCCTTCCCACATTATTTGTGAAGAAGACACTGACCATGTAACTCCACTCGTGAGCTCTCTCCTTAAGAAAACCGACTGCTTTCCTCCTCTCTGTTACTTACTGCTTACTCACTTGTTAAAGCATGGGAGGATCTTCCCTCTTATCCCTGGCCTCTATTAAGAGACATTTTTAAGAGATCTTGTCAGAGGCCTTTTGGAGGTCCAAGTAGCCTATACGTACTGAATCCCCTTGGTCACATCCTCAGTGATATTTTTCAGAAAAGCTAATCCATTTGTGGGGCTTGTAACTTAATCCTGTCACTATACTTTTTCCTGTTTAAGCATGGCATTCCAGTCCACGGATCCTGTGGCACTTGATGGTACAGTCAGTTTGTTTATCTGATTCGGCTCTTAGTTTTTCTTTAATAAATTAGAGACTCTCTTTCACTGGTACAATCTTTTCTGTTATTCCTATACATGCACAATGGTGATATGCTGGTTATGCTCCACTGCCTGCCTTCCTTCAACCAAGCTTCTGACATATGCCGTATAGCTTCTTTAAAATGTGTTTATTTCTCCACCTTACTTTTTAAACTTCCACTGTTGCTGGCAGGGTTGCCTGTTCTTCTAAATCCTCTTTAAACAACATTTGTCCAGCTGTTACTGACTCTTTCTTGCTTGAGTTTTGTCAGCTTCTGCCCCATCCTTCCTTTGGGGGTGCCGTGACAATTGACATCGCCTGTAAAGGATGTGCTGTCCTATACATGTATTATTTCACCTTGCCAGGGTTCCCCTAATTCTTTGTTTAGAAACTGCTCCATAATCTCTTAATTTGCATGTCAGCAGCCTGCTTTTTTTTGGTTTAGAAAACAAAGGATCTTTTTATTTCAAACGTTCCTCAGTTCATAAATAATCTAAATCTCCTTCTTTTTAATACAATTCCCTACATGAAGGTGCCTGGAGGTAAAAAGGCCTCTTGGTACAACACTGAGCGTGGTACTAGCAGCACTTGGGACAATTCTACCACTGGGCTCCTGGTCTTTCAGCTTCTACCTGACAGCTTCAATTTTGCCCTCAATGCTTGCCTCCTGTCCATCCCACTCTCCCTGGCACCCAGCTGCCCCACAGCTATCACCTCACCTCCAGAGTCCCTAGGACTGCCTAGGTGCCTCACCTGATGCACCAGCTGCTCCCAACACACTGCTAGGTCCTGTTCGCATCATCAAGCCCAGCTATCTATGCAGCTAACAATCCCGTTACCCACCAGCATAGTTTTTATCTTTTCCCTTCAGTTAGAGTTCCATCCTTCAAAGTATCACACAGCCATCAACCTCCGGTCCAGAGGCTTTTCTATCTGCAGCGACGTTGGGACTGCACAGCCTGCGGTAGCGGATTTCGTGATGCCCCTCCAGGTCCTGTCCATGAGTCTTTCTGACTCCCTGAGCTTTTCAGGCACTTGTGCTGCAGAATACAGCAACCACCATGGAGGTGCTTGCAACAGCAGACATATTCCACCCATCTCCTAGTGATCACGAACATGGCACTCAGTATAGCAACCCAGGAATTGGCATTTCCTGCATATTGTCCTACTTCCTCACTCTTTTGGGGTGGGGGACAAAGGACAAGGTAGCAGGGAGATGGTAGCAAGCAGGGAACTGCTTTCTCTTGAGGAGTGATTAATAACTTCTGTTTGTTCACTTTCATGGCCAATAACCTATTTGGGATGGGGTTGATTTGTTTGATCAGTGTTAGGGGTGGAGAACCTGGAAATCTCATCTCCCCAACAGCCTGTTTGTTTGCATGTCAGGTCCTGAGCTGTGCCCCACACAGGCTGAATTCTACTCGGTTACCCAACATTGATGAACTGGGAAAAGCTTGATAGTAGTTTAACACTGTAGGCAAACATCCAGAACAGGATACTATTTGAATGAAAGACATTTAAATTTATTAATTTAAATGCCAGAATCCACATTTGAACAAACCACCTAAATCAGCAGGTATCAGTCACAATTAAAACAGCTGAGAGAGCAATCCACCTCATCCAAAGGCAGTTCCTACTCCAACCTTCATTGACTGCAATGGCGAGGCCCTCAGATCAGTTGTATAAACACAGATACTTAGCGCCATTTTAAACGTTTTGGATATCCCACTGGCCTCCCGCTGCCACTGAAGAAAAGGACAGGTCTCCCATAGGTCCTCTGTCATATCTGCCAGCTGCAAGCAGGTACTCAGGTACCCCACACCGATCCGGACCTTGGGGTGGGTAGCTGAATCAAGACCTACACCTCCACTGCCTGGGACAGGTGTTCAAATGTTTAACTCTTATGTAGGTACCTACTTTTAGACTAAATTTAGGTGACAAACTAGAGCTGAATCCCACCCCGCCTACTCAGAGCTGAGCTGGCCTAAAGGAGTTCACCCATTAATTTAGCCAAATTCAAGTCCCACACCACAATATGCAAAAAAGATGGGTTAGTTTTTAAGATACTTACAAAAATTGCTCTACTGTATAGCTAACCTCTTTAATATAATTTTAAACTTGCAATCCTTTAAGCGCAAGAGTAGCAATATAAGTCTCAAGGGAAGTTTCCCTTACGTGTTGGCTAGTTGTTATTCTGTCTCCTACAGTATGATGGTTTACTGTCATGTAACAGCTGTTTTTCTAAAAATTTACATCTCCAATTCTATCTCCCATTGTTATAAAAGTAGACATACAGTGTATTGGCTGTAGCAAGTAACTAAAATAAGATACCACTGGTTTTCAGTGCTTGGGTTTAGAATTTCTTTCTATAATAAAGGGCTTTTGTGCTATCAAATTTCACTGTACATGAGCAAACAAAAAACTCTCACATGTTCAAAGACAAGGAAATGCCTTCTGAATTTAAGAGCAAAAGGAAAGAGATCAGAATGTGTGACACTAGTCACATTATTATTTTCTGCTGGAGCTACTTAACAGACCTTTGCAACTGCTCTCAAACTGCGAAGTCCATGATATTCCCCGCTTGCCTTCAGGGGTTTGATTTCAGAAGCTTTTCCTGCTCAACTGCTATGTTTATTGTAATGAGTCATAAAGGTCACATCTAGCATAATCAATATTGCTTTGGCTTCACTGTCCTGAAAAGTGGCAGAAACCTGGCTTTGTGTATTTGTCATCCTGTTGCTTATGTTTAGGAGACCAGTTATTCAAAAGCTAATTACCTAGAAAGATACTACTCTCAGGCAGTTGTCTAGGTAGCTAATATGATTCCATGTGGTTTCCAAACACAAAATGGGAAGGATAACTAAAAATAAAAAAGGAATCCGTACTCTGTGATGCGTAAAGAGTCTCCTTTTTCAAAACAAGCTCATGGCACACCTGTTGCATTTAGATGTCGAATTTACCTCGATGTCTAATCTGGATCATTAAGTATATTGAAATACATACAACAAGGACACACTCCAGACATGGGTTTTAAAGTAGTTCCCAGTATTTTACTAAAATATAAATTAAAAGGAGAATACTAATACAGTATATATAATGTATCTCACTGCTATAGTTAGAAATTCTCAACTCTGTTCCTTGGAGAGCACTTTCTGAAGAAAACTGTCATGCTCTATTGAAGACTGGAAGATGCAGTTTTTAAATGTTATTACATAAATTAATCTGTAGTTGAGGGATTTTTTCAGCAGAATTTGGATATCATTACAGCTAAAACTTAGCTTAGAAAAGCCAGGTACTGACTAGTATAATTTTAATAAAGAAACATCGAAAATGCTATTGCTTAACTTTCCTACTTCAGTCATGGCAAGCCCTGATCCAGACACTTTTACTTATTCTCTCCACAGAGAGGCAAAGTGAAGGTTCCCAGCAGTGTTTTGTTCACCACTAACAGTGAAGATTATAAAATTAAAATTTTGCTTTTATGTCTGACCATTGCCAGTGGGGTCAGATGTAAAAAAAATCTAAAACTGTTTAGATTACGCTCATGGTAGTCTGAAAGAACACAAATGGTATAAACCCGGATTCTTCTGGTCCTACCTGCCAAGAAATGTTCCACTAATACTAGATATGACCTTCTATGAACTCAAGCTAGTATTGCATACTAAAAGTAAACAATTACAGAAAAAATACACAGGGCACATCAGAGAGTCTGAGAAGGGGTACTGCTTCTGAAAAGGCAATCTTTTTCAAGAATCTGTCCATCATGTCCCAGAACCCTTGTTGGGCTACACTCACCACTGAGTAAGCAACTGCAGCTGCATACAGTTCTCTGAAACAAGCTGCTTAATTATTTCGGGCTTGCCTATCTAGGTAGTTAAGCTGAATGTACAGAAATGTAAACAGAAAATTAAAAGTACATGTGTGGTGTGGCTATGGTTCGGGTATGAACTCAAGCATATTAGACCTTACTTCCTTCAAATACTATTATTATCTTCAGGCACGTATGTGAATAGAGAGTGGAGAATACAGGAGTGTAACAGGTACAGAAGAATAAACCATAGCAATGTCAAATAGCAGACTGAAAAGCAAGTTTCACATGTGCACAGCAGGAAAAGCTACTAACAAGAACATGATAAAAGAAAGCAACTCAGCTGGGTACTACTTTGTTACTGAGTATTTGTCACTGAGTATTTGTGTTCCACAGTATAATCTACTTCCTAACCAAGCTGGGGTATGAAGTTGACGTCTAGAAAGATCTTGCATCTAGAAAGATCTTGCCCTAGTCTTGGGCATCTAGACTTGCCCAACTTACCGTTAGACGTTCTCATCTGTCGCCTTCGTCCAACCCGGTCCAGGCCGATGGGGGTACTTTGTGAAAAGGTGAGCGGCCGGAACCTGGCTGAAACAGCTTTGTAAGGGGGCACCTGGTGCGCTGGAACGGGTGGCCGCGTTGCAGGCTGCAGGGAAAACAGGAAAATCCAGTATTAGTAAAGCTACCAGCAAGTCCAACTGCGCAAAACTCGGGTATGAAGTAAGGTTTCTTCACATAGTCCAGCTAATTACAGAGGCAGTGAAATCGCCTACTTTGAAGTGACATTGCTTGAACAACTGCAAGCCATATCCACCAGCATCACGGAAAATATTTTATAATGTTACAGTTCTCTGTTGCATTAAAAACTCCTCAGCCTTCTGTTATGATCAGATATGTTCTGTAATTTTCATCTTGTAATACTCCGTGCCCAAACGCTCTGGGATCTAACTGCTCTGAGAACAGCCTGCGCAATGCCGGCTGGCGTTGTAAACGCACATCTGAAGGGAAACCCAAAGTGAAAGAACGACCAGAAATGCTGTGGTTGGAAGTTGTGTTCATTTCCTGGGACACTTGCTTTCTTCGAACAAATGTATTGCTTTTAAGTAACATAAACATGGCTTACAAGATGAAAACAATTGTCTAAATGATCCTCTGCTCTGAAGATCCCAGGAGTCTCATGAAAAAGAGGTAATATTAAGTTTACTCGTAACTTTATCTAGAAGCCATTTTCTTTAGGTAAATCATTCATTTGCTTAATTATGATTAGAGAATCTACCCTTGTTCTATTTGCAAATTGAGTCTAATTTTATGTCGTCCCTGAACAACTCCACATTAGCCAGGCTGAATAAGCTCGCATAAACATTCAAAATTAAACAGCCAGACCTCAGCATATGAACTTCAGAGAAACTAATCTTTACATCTTCTCTTATCTTTCAGTTGTTACTGTTCCTAAACCCTTCTGTCAAGTAATCTGAAAGATCAGGGTTGACTTTGTTATGATCTCTTGACAGTCTATTATGAAACCAATGACTTAGTATTGTTTGAAGGCATTTTCTCACACCTAAACTGTCAGATCAAAACAAAACACAACAAAGAAGGAATCAGCATTACACTTTTCAAATATTCCTGTGTGCTTTCAAAGCTTTTAAGAAAAAAAATCAGGAAGGTGAAGATCAGCCTTTGAAAGCCCCACATAAAATACTTCTAGCAAATGTATTCCTGCTTCATTAGTCCTTTTTTCCATTCCAGCTACAAATTTATTTTCTAATACGACTGCCAAAAACCTCTGTGTATATTGAATATGATTTAAATACAACCTCATCTTTAAACTTCATTTTAGCTAAAGCAAAGTGTTTTAGCAATATATCAGGATCCTATCACTCAATAACACCACAAAGAGTAAGTCAGATATATTGCATCAAATAACTAGTAGAAATGATGGCAATTACAATATCCAAATAACTGGCTCATTAAGCAACACAGCTATTTATTCCTGGGCAACTAAAATTTTCTTGTAAGGCTTCAGTCCAGATCCCTTCCCCAGACAGATAAGGATGTGCTGTTACTCAGTGGCAGGCCTGGGAAGGCCACCCTTTGGGCTAAAAATGTGTCCCCACTGGGAATGCTCCATAGTTTTGGTCTTGACCATAGCAACCCAGCAATGTGCTCGTTTAACCCAGCCAGCCCTCACAGCAGCATCGGAGCACAGAAAACTCAACTCAAACAGCATCCTCGATGCATATTCCTTCATCAATAAAATGACGCGGGCAAGGTTTGAAGAGAGATCAATTTGTTTTCGGCAGTAAACGAAGGACTTGGAGAGTGTTAAATCACTTCCATTGTACAGCAAGGATTATTTGGGTTGCCAATACTTACTGTCTCTTGAAATCCATCTATTATTCTTGACTAAGATGGCCTAAAATTTATAACAAGAATTTTCCTCCTTTTTTTTCTTCCAAGCTAAATAGTGATAAAATTAATTTTAAAATATGCCAGTTATGTAGGGTTTGAAACTATGGCCTTTGCCTGGGTAAAAGGTTCATTGGCTTCAGCTAGAGTTTTGCTTCAAGTTTCTTTTTTTCACCAGGGAATTATAAAGAAAAAATGCTCTATATACAATAACAATGTCCATGTTAAAAATTGCTTTTCACAGGGGACTGAAAGTCCTGCCATTGTTTCAGCATTTGATTTCAGTCGGGGGAGTACCATAGCCGTGAATGATACTTCATTGAACTTCCCAGCAGGAGGTCAAGTAGCATGAGAAAGATTAAGAAGATTCAAATTCCATTAATAACCACTGGAATGACATTTTTTTGAGGATGTAGATACTATTCCTTTTTTCTGTTGCTTTACCAGCTACTTCCTTATTAGTTTTAAGTATCGTCGCTATGCCAATGCCAAGATTTTGAACACCACAGCTAATGCCACAGGTTTTGAGCAGGCCTGCTTTTGGCAAATTTGAAATGATCAATAAATAATGTGTTACTATCAAATTGTTTGTCTGTTCCTCAGGCCCTACACCCTGTAAGGTGACACACAGCTGCACTACACACAAATCAGCTCTTATACACCAATATGAGACATAACAACCATTCCAAGAAAGAAATAAGGTTAATTTACAATACAAAAAAGATTATCCCAAAGTCAGTATCAGTTTTATTCCATGCTGTTTTGTTTTTTAACAACAAGACAAAGTAATTAGTGACCAGGAAAGCAGAATTATAAGTACACAATGTCAGTCTGACGAAAGGGAAGGAAGAGAAGGAAGCATCCATTCTATTTTCTAGGCTGAAGATAGAGACAAGGAAGTGAAAGGGTCTTTTGCAGTTTGCAGAGAGCACATCTCTTATCTTACTTGTGTCAGCAGACCTTCTATCTCTTCTGCTGGACCGCTTCCATAGAAATTGACCCCACCTATTACAGAGATGGGTCTTCTTTTTCGCCCTCTGTGGTAGCCTACTGTATTGCTTTGGATGACGGACCCGACGGCAGCCAGTCCTGGCTGATTTTCTCCGTCCATGCAGTCTGCCTTCTGAGACTCCACAGCAACTGCATCTTCTGGTATAGAGAAACTTCTGATTGACATTTGGCCATAATCTGAGAGAGGTCTGGGACGAGATCTTTTTCCAGAGCCCCATCTCCTGGGTGTGACCTTTTGTGTTTCTGTCTTTTCTTCGTCCTGGGATGGAGACCTCTTCCAGTGGTCATCAGAAACAACCTTTTTAAATGTGAACAAGTCAAATAAGCCACAGAATTTTCTGACAATCATTTATGAGTTTTTCATAAAGAAAACTCAGATCAATTTAACATTGACAACATTAACAACAACAATTTAAGCCTTACCATAATAAATACAATAAATAAAACTGACAATTCAGGAAGAGAGTAACTTTGCAAAGGAAAGACATCATGATGCTTGTGCTGAGTAAGTTTAACACCCAACCATCAGCACCTCTTAGGCAAACATGACTAATAGCAGTAAAAACTCACCTATTACCTCAACAGTACAGACAGGCCCTATCATAATCACTGAATTCACTGAATGATGTCTTGGAAAGACAGCTCTGGCACTCACAGGACTTCTTCCTGTGCACAAGTAGGATGCTACACATAACACCAGTAAAAATAACTCAACCAGCACACTGTGTTTCTGGACTTTCTACCAAGGCCTGTAGTGACAGGACAAGGGGCAATGGTTTTAAACTGTAAGAGGGTAGCTTTAGATCAGATATAAGGAAGAAATTCTTCACTATGAGGGTGGTGAGGCACTGGAACGGGTTGCCCAGAGCAGTTGTGGATGCCCCATCACTGGAAGTGTTCAAAGCCAGGCTGGATGGAGCATTGAGCAACCTGGTCTAGTGAAAGACGTCCCTGCCCATGGCAGGGGGCTTGGACCAGATGATCTTCAAAGGTCTCTTCCAAACCAAATCATTCCATGATTCTATGACATTCCTCTGCTTTTCCTCTACTCAGTGATGAAAATAAACAGTAAGGCTGAAGTTGCACTGCTTGCTGATCCCATGTAACTCTAAGCCGATACCAAGACGGGCAGTCGCACCCCCTCCTACCACTCGCTCCCATACTCTCACTTGGGTCAGATCTAGAGATTGTGCAGCCATGTGTGAATTGGGTGAGTGAGCTCATCCAGTTTAGAAGAGAGAAGCTAATTTTCTATATACTTGGGGAGGTTATAGTCATATAGAGTAGGACCAGAGATACATGATAACACAAATGCAGGAAAACCTGATGTTTTTAGAGAGGAAGCTTGGAAAATGAGCATGTTGTTCCTATATAACAGCACATCTGGCTCACGAAGGTTAATGCCTACAGGTATCATAAATGCACTGGTACTGCAAGTTTGGAAATAAAATAACCTCAACTAAAATACCTGTTAGAGGGAACATTTTTAAGGATTACAACGCATTTGGTGTAATATTGCCATAAACCTTTCTAGAAAAACCCCTGCAGTTTTTCTTCCGATAAAAAATTCTGCACATAAAGATTTATATTCAGTTTTTCCTCACATTTCCAAATTCTCAGCATTTCCTTGGCTTTTCCTGACTCCTCTACAAAGAACAGAAAAGAAACAGGGCGAGGAAGATGGGTGTTTCTGGGCTGGGTGGCAGTTTGCATGAATGCCTGATGGAGTGAATGGCAAATTCCAAAGCACTGCTGAGCAAGTGAACCCTGCCCCAAGATCTCACACAAATTATGAATTAATTCTGATTTTTTTTTGGTAAAAAAAAATCAGTCCACTTCTTTATTAGGATATCCTTAGACTACTCAAGTGCATTTCTGATGATGTTCAAAGCTAGTAAGTATTGCAAAAAAGAGAGGCATCAGTTTGTCTGTCTCTGGCTACATTTTGTGCATCTGTTTCAGACCAGGTGGGCAGTTCAGGTATTGCATATTCAAAGCAAACATGCAGCCCAGAATCAGCCTTTTACAATGATGCCTGTGAAAGGGGACCCAATCGTCTGTCACCTTCTTCTCCACCTGCTGTTTTCAACCAGGCCAGTACAACTCCCATGAGCCTTTTTTAGAAGGCCACCTGATACCTGGGCAGATTTCGCTTTTTATGTGAAAGACAGCTAAAGACAAATTTTACTGTATGAAATCACTTCAGCTAGTAGGCAGAGTTATTAAACAGTCAGCATTTTAATGTGATTACTACAATTAAGGTATGAAAAATTATGAATGTCATCTATTGCTCTACATTCAATTATTTCACTTGCAGCATGAAAATTATTCTAAATAAAGCCCTCGCATAAATTCTTATTTCTATGGCATCATACCTGTCATTCAAGCATTCAGCTTCTCTGCAGATTTTAGCTCAGGACCAGTTTTAATAGTATAAGCGATTCAGTAGAGAGTGACTCCCTGGCTGGAGCACCAACACAGCTCCAGCAAAGTTGTCCCTTAAACCAGCCCTTCCAAGGTCAGAGCAGCAAAATTGCAAGTTAAGTAAGGTTCTTACCTCAGAATCAGACACAGGTAAAGAGTCTCCACATATGCAGTGACTGAGAAAGGAGCTCATAAGAGTCATTTTATGTTTTTGTTTTGCAGTCTTGTCCGTAAGAGCTACAAATGTGAGCACACTCTCTGCGTAACCAGTCAGGCGAAGTTCATCCCATGATCCTGTACTTTTAGACTGAGGGAAGGACACGTCACATGTCATCTCCTAATCTGCTTTTTACACCCTTATCTTGAGCAATAACATTTGCAAAGAGAGGACTGCTCTCCTTCTGCAGCACTCCACCTACAGTAGTCATCCAAATGACAGCAAGATTAATCTCTGCTGTGCAATAAACAATGCTGAAGGACGTGTATTTTTAGGCTTAGATCTATAAACTGCATTGAAGAATACTAATAAAACAGAAAACATAATCCTCTCATAGCAAAAATCAGAGGAAATCACACTGATAACCTCACATTCCTCTAAGTGACCTACTCAAGCAGGACCTGATCAAGTGACCACTTGTAGTAGGAATAAAATATCCAGCACACAACTCTAAGGCTCCAGTACTGCAGTCACTTAAGTGTTAAGTGTGATTCTTGACGTCAATGAAAAAAATCTGAGGAAACAATTTTGTTCCACTTATCATTGGCTTTAAAATGGTGCAGCACCACTGACCAGCCAGTCTGACCACCAGGTCAGACCTCAAATGACCTTCTTGTGATTAATCCCTTATAAGTGAAATCAGGTTTATGTTCTACAGTTATTATCAGTAACATCTATTGACATGAGTAGAGATATACACAGCATTTCATATAGGATGAAAATCAAAATGTCATGCTCTGACTCATGCATTATAAGTGTTGATCAAAGATTTCAAGGAATTCCAAGTTTTCTGAGAGTAAAAGTCTAAGCTGAATCCACATTGGATTTTCTGAAATTCACACCTGCCAGTCTAGCAACAGCACAGGATCACCAATGCTAGCAATCAAGATTATTCACCTTGTCTTTTAGGCTGCATCCTACGTTAGGTTTCTTCTGAGACTGCAAACACAAACAGCTCTACTTATTTATACTGAGGCGAATGAATTAATTTTATCTGGACAGCTAAATTCCTACAACAGCGTATTAGTTAAGTTGTTGTATTTCGATCGTCTTCCTTTTTCCTGACAGCGGTATACCTACAAATACAACCATTTAAAATAAATATTTACTTCAATCCTGGCTACACTTTTATTTGCTATTGTTCCCATGTAATATGTCACTCTTAGGATGGGATTCAGCTCCAGATTCCCACATCTAACTTTTGACATCTGCAATGGAGGTGTCTGTATGTTAGGTAGATGCTAAAGCTGTCAATCGTAGCCTGTAGAAATCTGGGGTGAGATTTTGTTGCCTGAACATAGGCACCCGGGGCCATTTCAAATGTCCTCAGAGATCTAAAATATCTCCACGTACCGTGCACCATGCAAGTCTGACACAGGACGTAAGGGAGGCATGGGCCATCCCGAAGCAGCCCCGGGAGACCAGGGGGAACCAGTCAGGGCACCTCCAGCAGTGCTGGCTGCTTATGTTCAGGCAATCGAGTTGAGCCCCCAAACAAGAGGGTCAACCGACCCTACAGAGCGCTACGGGCAGGAGCCAGGTGCCCAGCCCAATTGCAGGTAGATGTAGATGGCACTTACAACCATGTTCCTCAACGCTGTGGGGAACCCTGCTTGGTCCCCATCTCCTGCTCCAGCAAGGTGCAGCTTCCCCGCAAGGTGCCTTCCAGCTGCGCACAGCTGACTTGGATACCTGCCCCTCACTGCGCTTGACAGCTATTTCTAGGTAACCTGGCTCAGCTCTAGGCACCACTTTCAGGTGTGCTGTTTAGGGTGTGCCCACCAGGCACATCACATCGACCTGGCTACGGTGGGAGCCTTCGCCAGGCTGCTCCCAGGTAGACAACTACACCGCGGAGTCTGAGCCCAGCCAGACTCTCCTTTGCCTGGGCCCAGACTGATTTCCCAATCCAGGCACAGCAGCTTCAAGGACTCGATCCTGATCTCACTCAGCTTGACCTGGCACTGATACAACCCCGTTGCATTTAATGGCACGTGACTGCTGTTGGCATTCCCTGTTACTCATTAATAGCAATGTAAGCAACATCAGCACCAGGTATTTAACCACTGAAATCTTAGCTTAGCCTTTATAACCAGATGAGAGCCAGGTTCTGCGACTGTTACTCAGACTCAGTGTATATTTGATGAATTCAGCACCTAAAATTGTCTTCAGAGGGAGGGCTGCCCAAGGAGCATGAGATCTGATCTGTACTGTAATAATAAAAGTGTTGCTTATATGGATATAACTTTTACCAGTAAAATGACAAAGAATTGCCAGTACCTGAAATAGCATGGCAGGACTTTTGCTGGGACAGTTATACCAACCATGAATAACCCCTCATCCTATAACTGACGACATTCTCTCGACTAGAGAAAAAGCCCAGGCTATAAGTCTGACCCAACACAGCCTGCTGCTGGTCAGCTTGCTGCTGTTGGTATGCTTGTGAGGGCTGACACAGAGCTGCCATCATGATGGCAAAGGCAAAACAATCCCTGGGTGATTTTTTGTTAATGTGTTTATGCCAATAATCTCCCTAATGAAAATTAAATCACTGCTCTATAAAAGTCTCGATGCCTGTGTACATTGCTGAGGCTCCCTGTCCACTAATCTGCATTTCTACCCCTACCATTACCTATCTGGATTTTTAAAATTTTATT